CTTTGTGACCTGCGTAGCACCTACCTACCTGCCTCCCCAGACATCGGAAACACTCTATACAGCGACAAAGCACAGCTGATTAAAACCTGTCAATTTTTTGCCATATCGACAGACCGAAGGGCTAGAACCCAAATGGCCGCTGGATCGGAAAAGTAAAGTGAAAGTAAAAGTAAAGTATAGATAATATAGACTTGCAAAACGTTTGCTCTTATTTTACCTAACCTTACCAGATTTGTCTTGCTTTATACCACATAACTATTCTTGTAACATGGTATTTGTTTATGCTTTATCCTTTACCTTGTCATAGCTATAAATACCCATAAAATAGAAATGGTATGTGTTGAATATACTAAATTGTTTTATACCAATTTGTGACCAATAACGGGGGATTTAAGTTACAATGTAAGCACCATGCCATCATTTGGAAGAAGATGTAGACTTTAAAAATGCCGACAAGGAAGCAAATAGTTAACGTTATGATGGTTTATAGTAACCTAAACTCACCTGCAGGACCCTGAGCAGCGCAATAAAGCCTCGCTTCCTTACAATAACTCTTCAGGGCTACGATCTGAGGAAGCCAGATAATATAGCTATATTTATTTCAAAGATATTTCAACAAATTTAATACGCACGAAGAAATGCATGTTGTAAGGTATGATAGATTTGTATAATAGGAGGAATGAATATAATCCATATGCTGAATCAATAACAATTTTATGGTTGTTGAATTTAGCCAACACGTGCCACCTGTGAGAGAAAAATACGATATTAGATTGTAATCATTCGTTTTGTTTTAGGTCTGCAGTTCAAATACATGAATGTTATTTCTCTCTAAGTTATTTATTCCGATTCATTCTTTTACACCATAAATAATTACATGTATAATGTTTTTGCTTCAGTTTCCATTACTATTTTCCGTAGGAGAGGCAAATGGTTTGCTGTATGGTATTTAAATCAGTGTGCTGTTTCTGCTCCCCCCCCCTCCTTCCCTTCACGTTTGGTTCAAGTTACATTCTTCTTCACAGAAACTGCTGTGCCAAATTTCTCGCCATCTTAAAAAATATGTCCAGAAGATGGTATGACTCTTTTAAGACAACGTTAACACTCACAAGACCGCCAGTAGGTTGATAATTATATAAAGGCACACATTTGTCTTTCGGGACATTTCTGACGGAGAAATAGACATTCTGTTGCAAGTTTATTCTTGGTTGGTTGACTGCTTTTCTTTTGATACCTTTTTAGATTCAGCAGATGCCCTGACAAGTAACAATTGTGAGAAGAAGGAGAAGAAGAAGAAGAAGAAGAAGAAGAAGAAGAAGAAGAAGAAGAAGAAGAAGAAAAAGAAGAAGAAGAAGAAGAAGAAGAAGACCACCACCAATACCACAGACTGAACTATGCCATCATCACCATCATTATTGTAAATACAATAAGAAAAAACAACAACAGTAGGTGGAGATTTAAGCGTTTGTAATTTTACAACATTATGAAATCATCACCATCATAATCTTCATCGTTATCATTATTAACAACACAACAAATACGAAAACAACAACTACAACAACAACACCACCAACAACAACAATAACAACAACAACGACAACAACAACCACTAAGTCAACAACAACATTACTGCAATAACAATTGCAACAACAATTCGGCATTAAGGAACATCCATAAAACGTTTAGTCCACAAGCAATTCTCCCACAGTGAAAGGAAACAGGGCTCCTGTGTTCTTGGGATATCATATATATTATACTGAAACTTACTTATACAAAGTTGGGTGGAATTTCTTGTGTAGGACTGAGGAATTCAAAAATCTTTACAGAACAATTTTCAAGTATAAGAGGCTAAATAGAGGAGGATCGACCTTCAAGCCAACAACTCGAGAAGGAAACGAGAGTCAAGTTTAAAACCTACTAGACAATTGGTGTATGCCAAGGCATATTCGGAAAGAGAGAGTGCTATGACAAGCAGTGGATATCCGTAGGAAGGGACAGAAACAAATATACAGCTACAGAACAGGCCCAACAAAATCACTCTCGAACTATGATTGATAAAGATTTGGGTAAGGAAGCAGAGGCCACGTCAGTGTGACACAGTTGTATACAGATGTATTCTATACAGACCGGGTTGGACCTGAAAGGAGGCTCGAGGCAGCCCACCTTCTAGATTATCCCAATCATGTCAATTAGGGAGCAGAACATTGTCAACAAATTGTTGCGAACACACACAGACAGTTGGAGGGGTGTACATAATATGTAACTGGTGACGAACAAGGACTGAGAAGTCTTAAAGAGAATTGGTCCCCGGCAAGCTATTTAAAAATAAAAAATGACCCAAGCTTTAAAAAAAAATCCAGTTGTCCGATATAAAAATTGAGAAGATCATCCAAAGATGGTAAAGCCATTATTACAACTTGTACGTATACTATTCCCTTGGACTAGTACATTCCCTAGTGTAACCCTGACGGCTAATCAAACTTTAGATCAAACTGTTTTACAAGATATCTCTTGATATCTGTTACGTAGGTCCTCACTCTGCAACCCCATAAACTATGTTTGAGATAATTATTTAATCCTCATAATCTGAAAT